ACTATATATTTAATATATTATAAATTCATATATAAATTATATAAGCATCTAAGATCTAGCTTCGAGCGTTACAGGTTTTACATTCTTACTTATTATATTCCATCCACAATCTTGCTTTATGAGGTCGTAAAGCCTTAGTCAGGATTTACAATAGATGTTTTAAGCCTTAAGGGAATACTCGATTGTGATTCGCCCATTTCTTATAGCTTAAGGCTTAAAACCCTATTGTAAATCCGGTGTAACAGTAACCCGGTGTAATAGACATATAAGATAGATCCAGCACCTATATATTTTTCTATATATGCTGAGTTTGGGAGAACAGTGCAAGAGACAAAATATCGGAACAACCTATTCTTCTTTGAGCGCACACATTCATATTACTGAAAAAAATAAAATAAGATATAAAAGTAAGTGTATATAATACTCAAGAATTCTATCTTCCTCATCAATTTTGATGAAATTAGAGTAGAAAATATTTCTTCTAGTCTCACTTATATGTTCTTATGTCTCTATGTCATCTTGCAAGATTAAATTCAACAAACCGAATTCCACAAGTAAATGATGAGAAATAATACGTTTATAATTCATCATCGATGTGCCTGTATTATTGAATGTGTTTATAAAGCTATTATGTGTTATATGATATATATCATATATGTCATATGATAAAATTTTCATTGTAATAGATTAATTTCTTAATCTTTTGTGTTTTATCATTATTTTAGGAACTGCAAATACGGAGGAAGAAACCGGAAGGATGGAGGAATCACTAGCAAACGCGGAATCTATTGGAAATTATATCATTGGAATTTTAGACAAAGGTATTATATTATTGTATATACATGTTTTATTATTATTCTCCTATAGCGATATACGAACATTGATGTAACATATGATAAAGTTCCCATTGTAATAGATATGTCAAATTTCTAATCTGTTGTGTGATTCATTGTGGTTAATCGTCATTTCAGAAAGTCAAGAAGAAAATGTAAGAATGGAGGTCACAAGCGTGGCAATGGTAATAATATCTACAGGCTGGGATATTAACAATGTTAAAGGATGTGAAATTTGACAAGATGAACAAACAGTAATACTTACAAACATGCAGGCACAAAAAATATGTGTATGTTCTGTCATAAAATGCAAGCAAAGATTGTCCGATATTTGGAATTAATTCATTCTGAGGAAGATGATGTTCGAAAGTTCAAATATTTACCTAAGGTTGTAGGGAAAGAAGAAAGATCATCGATACTATAAGAAAAAAAGGAAATTTCGAATTCAACATTAAAAAGCAAATACGAAGGGCAAAGTTTTATTCCATGTAGACGAGCAAGAGAAAATAAACCTAAGATTCTTAAAAATTATCTAGCATGTGGAAATTGCAAGGGTTTTTATTTAAAATCGACACTGAGACATCATTTCAGAAGATGTACGGATCGGTCAGGACATAACATTCGCGTCGTTAAAGTAATGGGTAGAAGATTAGAAAGCAAATGTCTCAAAGAAGTGAGAGAGTACGGCGATTAGAAATGATGATCTAACTCGCATTCATTACGATAGTTTATTAATAATATTTGCGAATTCCCTGAGTAAAAAATATAGACACTCATCGCATCATTTACCAATGATTCAAGCTCGATTGCGGCTTGTAAGTCGCCTACTGACAGAGAAATTTGAAGACATACAGAAAAATGTTTTATACTAACATGTTCAGTACAAAGAGAGACATCACATAATAAAAATAATTATTTTATGGACGGATGCGCTGGAGACATTTCAAAGTGAATTTCATTTTTTTTTAATGGACATCCTACTTTTGATTCCAGAGTCTAATAGTCGATGTCGAGAGCTTTCAAAAACACTATAATAAAGTTATTTTTCATTGAGTGCTTTTTGAGTTATAAGGCTCGGCAGTATCGCAGGCATTATCATTACCTTGCCGATAACTTTTTCATACCCAATTATTCGTGCAAAATTGAAATCACTGTACCATGTGATATGCCTATGTGTGTGATGGCCTCAACAAGCTCGCGCACTTTCACTCGTCGATCAGTCAAAACAATATCGTGGACTTTATCGATAATTTCTGGCATAGCAGCCTCAATTGAACATCCCGAACGAGGTGCATCACATATGGATGTATGACCATTTAAATTCATTTACCCAATTGTATACAGTCGCAAATGCTGGTGCAGATGTGTTATGAACATTATCCAACTCGGATTTGATTTCTTTCGGTGTTAAATCTTTCATATCTATACATTTTGCAAAAAATACAAAAGTTGTTCGCTTTAATCGTCTACGGAAATAAAACCACGCGATGAATTCCGCTCAAAATTTGACGGTAATCAGCTGAAAGATGTTACTTGTCAAAAAGTAATATAACACTACGAGTGCCCTCTGATAGATTTTCTAAGAACTTATTGACTTGCCCTTGTAATTATATATATTGTATATTGTACATATATGTGTACAACTTTTAATCGTACATTTTTATTATTTTTGCGCGTAGAATGTACGCTTTGAATGTCGATCTCAAATTGCCAGTCTCGCTTTCTATGACATTTTACAATTTAAACTTTAACATCATGTAATTAATTAGTTAATCAATTATGCGTTTTCAGATGTGTGCTGCATTCCACAAGCAGTATGATTAAATATTTACTTTTAGTTAATTACAAAAAATTAATCTAAAGTATACTAAGATTAAAATATATATTCACATCTTTGCCTTATATGTGCAATCTATTATATGCCGCATACACAAGGATAGGAAGACCTACTCACCGATGTTGCACACATATTCGAATCGTTTTTTCTCTCTAGAGACTCAAGCATAATGAATATTAGTTATTTAAAAAATAGCGTTGCTGTTTTATAATTTTATAATAATTAGAACAAAATGTACAATTTTGAAAATATATTATTTACATAAGGAAATTTCAAATCAAATTTGCTCTCACTCCATAAGTGTTCCTAACTAAATAAATATATAAATAAATATAAATATTCGTTGGGTATAATTTATTTATTTCTAAATTAGAGAAAAAAGAAAGGGAGGATTTGCAACAAATAAAAAATCAATTATTTATTATTTTTCTTATTTTTATTCTTTATTATTGTTAATGTGTTTTTTCCGTTGTGCACTTTTCCGAAGTGCGTGTGCGTTTTTCGACTTGACGAATAAATCAGGCCGATAAATCAGACTACTATAATGACTCTTCGAATCATTGACGAGCAGTGTACATACAATGATAATATTCAGGCAATCAGTCGTCTAATTCCTATAGGTATTTTTTATTCTATTTCCTTTGAAAGTATTGAATTTATGAATGAAAACGATTAAAAATATAAGATTAATACAAAAAATCAATAACTAATATTATATCTAATAATTAATTATTATAATATCTAATTTTAATAATTTATGGAAGAAAACTAAATATTTTATAATTATTAAATAACAATAATAAAAAGATAAATGACGTGAAAATAAAATTGGCTCAAATATATTTTTGAACTTAATATTTGTATTGATATTAATGATAAATTTTATTATTGTCATTTATGAGTTCTATCTTGCAATGGCACGATTTAAAAAATGTGATGGATTTTGTAATAATCTCGATTTAATTTTTATAATGGTTGCAAATATACAGTGAATATACAGTGAATGTATTATAAAATATTCTACAAAAAATCTTCTTTTATAAAAATATTAAAATTTATAATAAAATTGGATGAATTGTTATCAGCTACATAAGTTGATTGAAAATTAATATCAGATGTACCCTGATGTTTTTAAAATGCCATTAACGTCCATAAAATATGACTTCGAATATTACACTGGCCAACAAAATTAATGCAACCTATTTATTTCTGCAAAACCTATTTTAACCTATTTTATTCTGCAAAAATAGGCAAATTTCAAGATTACAATAACTTTGTCGAAAATCATCATATCGGGGTATTTAAAAAACATTTTACAGGTCGAAACCTTTACTTTTCAGATCGCTATTTTAAAAAACAGTCTCATGGAGATTTTATGAAGTTACACAAACACATAATAATGAAAGGATATTTAAAGAATCCAATATGGGATAACGATTTGAAAATAAGCATGGATTTATCATCTTCATGTCCATTGCCAAATTTTCGTAATATATCTATTCCATATATGCTTGTGAGTCATGCTGCATTTCAATTTACAGAATACATGCTAAGACCATATCCTGTTAATCAATTGAGTAGAAATAGAAGAATATTTAATTATAGATTAAGCCGAGCAAAACGTATCTCAAAAAATGCATTTTTATTTTTAGTTAACATATGGAGATACATGTATAGGTAAAGAATAAACAAGAATTGTAACATACATTAATAATAACTATGTACTCTTAGCTGCCTATTGTTTATGTGTAATATCGTTTTTAATATATAAAAAATTTTTAGGAAACCAACTAATGCGTCACTTAAAACTATTGAAAGCACAATTAAAGTAATTGTCTGTCTGCATAATTTTTTATTATCAACACGACGTAGATATAACAGATGATACATGTCAAAATGTTATACAAGAAAATACAGCAGCCATTAAAAATGTTAGTAGTATAGGAAGTAATACACATTCACGATGCAGCCTTCATCGAGCAATTGGTTCTTTTTTACAGATCCACAAGTAATAACTAATCGCTCCAACAGGATGCATTCAGAAACCTATATAAAAAAAAAGTATTGCAACCTTTTAGGCTCTAAATACATGTATGTATACATGCATGTATACAAATATATGTATGTATATTTTAAATATACAAAATATTAAACGTAAGATTACTTGCTGCAGCCAATAAAAAATGTTATGCTATATTTTATCATTGTTTCAGCAGACAATCTTTTTTTTCAGTCTAAATGTGACATGTTTTTTGAAATTATAAAATTGTTGCTCTCATGTACTATTACTTTACAAAAAATTTATTTGAAGTAAAAAAATGAATTATAACAACGATGTAACGATGTCGGCGTAACATCTTACAAAATTGCGTTTATAGCGCATTAAAATGCAATTACTATTGTTAACGCTGGCTGGTGAAATATTTTACTTTATTATAAATTAACAATAATAAACAAGAAAGGCAACTAAATAAAATATTTTGTTTATAAAGAACATATATAAATAAACAAAAAAAAATTTGTTAAACTCTGACATTGTGCTTCATTACATGCATATGAAATAATAAGACCCAAATAAAAAATAAATTAAAAATAACAAAGTAAACATTTTCTTGTCCAATCGCATTTCCCTTGTAAAGTCGCACGTAAATGTGATTTAATAATTTTCTTTATGCATACAAGCCTTTATAAGGCTATACAAGTTTATATGGATGTATCCGTAAGCGAGGGGCATAGACTTTTACATAACACATAATGCATAGTGCATAAGAGAATCAACCAATTGAAATTCTTCTTTCCAGTTATACTTCATGTCATTACACTCATGTAAACATACTCCGCGACTAGATGGCGCGCTCTCACATACACTATACTCAATTTCCCACCTAGATACTCCTTCGATAACTTTCCTACTCCTTCGAGTACGAGATTCCTTCGAGAAATAATTAATATTGCTACGGTCATTTTTTAGTCAAATATTTAGACGACACATAATAATAATAAACTTTACAAGTGTTACCATTACTTATCCGCTACTGCAAAAGAAATAAATTTCACAAAAACAGATAATTTGCGTCGACACATAAGGGCGAAGCACTTATTTTTCTTTACTAGATCTCAAGAGCATACGTATAGGCGAAAAACAATATATTTGCAAGGTATGTACTTTAAACACAGTGTTACATTGTCACACAGTGTCAGGGTGCTCCTTGGAACACATGTGTTTCGAATCCTAACGCAGTGTCATAACATCCTAGTACGTCAGAGCAAATATAAAACCTAAATAATAATAACATTAATTAATCATTCTATTAAAGACAAAAACAGTTCTATTAAAGATAAAAATAAACAAATAATATTTTTGCACATTATAATACCTGTTATCTACAACTGTTTGCAGTATTATAGATGGCCATCGATGGCTTTCGATTAACAATATCTCTGTATCCATTGCTAGGAGGAAGAATGGGGATATGCGTTCCATCAATTGCTCCAATTAATTGGGGAATATATAATTAACTCAAAAACAGCAGCTATTTTATGACACTCATCATTATCAGGTATGGTTATCTATAAACTCGTTAGTTTTGTATTAATTGCATCAATTACTCTATGAACACACTTCCATGCATTGGCCTTCTGAATCCCAAAGTTATTTCCGATTATACAATATTCGCAGCAGCTAGATAAAAAATACAGACAAACAGCAACTTGTTTTTCAACTGATACTGGTTTTCGAGTTCCTACTTGGTTTAAATTTGGAGCAAGTTTTTTTCATAATTGATCGCATAACCAGGAAAAAATTTCTTTTGTTATCAGAAAATTTTTGAACCAATCGTCGTCCCTAAAATAACCATTAATAATTCGGTCCCACTAATCAAAACTTTATTTTTTTATCTATATTTTTCTTTTTCGTGAAAATTGTAAGGCGAAGTTACATATGGATAAGAAGCAATATGAACGTAAGCATGGCAATATACCTAAAGAATTTAATAGTGATTTACTATATGAATGATATTCTATAATCTGTATTTATTTTTATCTTCTATTATCTTATCATAAAAATTATAGAAATACAAATGACTATTTGCAACTACTATAAAATTATAAACTAATCATATAAAAGTAACAAGCGCATTTAGTTTGATTTTATATTTTTTGTTAAAATAAATTGAAAACTTTTAAAAAGTAAACTGTATATTCAGTTTTATACACAACAACTTAAAGTTATCGAAAATTTTTTTCAATATAAATTAATAAAAATTTCATACATATTTATTCTGGATAATAAAACATTTGATAGCATATTTGATACTTATATTATTAGGTTTATACTTATTTTTAATTACTAACTTTTATCACAAGAACTTTTGTGATAACACATTAATACATATTATTTTTTAAATTAAATTACTTGTCTTAAAACAGTCTTTGATTAACAGTTGCACAGGCAACAAACTAAAATACTGTTAATTCAGGAGGACGATTCTGTACCTTGAAACAAGATAACAATGATTAAAATAAATAAATGAATAAATTTACTCAATGTTTACCAATAAAATTATAAGTATTCTAATAGATTCACTTTTGTAATTTTCAGCTCATTTCAAGATAGAGAATCGATTCAATTAATCGATTAGCTTAAAAAAATGAAAAATATCTTAATGTATAGATAATAGACTCTGAAAAAGAAACAAAACTAATGTATGTGACTGACCATAAAAAATGTTAAGTAATATTATTGCCAAGAATATTCGTAAAACTTTTATACTTTGTACCCATTTCGTCCATTTCTAGTATATATATAAATATATAATGCTTTGTGGCTGTGGAATTGGCTGTTTGTTTATTAAATATATTTTTCTAAAAAGATACGTATAAAATAACTGTAGTGTCAATCGAGCTAAATATTCGTATACGTTTTAAAAATAAAATGTAAAAAATAAAATTATTAAAATTTAATTAAATTATTAAAATTTAGCTTTATAACTGGTATAAAATTTTCATTAATTGTCTCTTTAATTCTGTTTTTCGTGGTTCCTCTACTTTGCATAACTGATGCACAATACTTTGACAAAAATAATCAGCTTCATCCATTTTTGATTTTTGTAAAATATGAGTTACAATAGATGATATGTTTTTAATTGATGTCTTTATTTCATCTGTCTCTTCTGTTATCTTCCTCTTATTATAATTTCTATCCTCATTTACCTTATTTTTCTTATTTTGTAGCACAATTTTCATACATGATTGTACTGATGATATAAATAGTTCATTAATATTAGAAGATAAGGTTGAAGTAGAAAATGTAATAAAGATTGGGATGAAGATGGAGATGAAGACAAGGCTCGTGATGGTAATGATGATAATGGTAATAATGGTTTCAGCAACTCATTGTCAGATAAAATAGGCGTAAAAAAAAAGGTAATTGCTGTTATATGTATATATATATATATACATACATATATATATATATAATTATTTGTATAAATATCTATTTAATTGTAAAGCTCTTAAAATTAATTCTAATTTGCAAAAAAAATAAAACTTTTTATATTATTGAAGATTTATATTTAGTTGTTTACAGATGCGACTGAATGTGTTATATCAACATATTTCAGTATATTTTTTGGCTTAGTAGCAAAATATATGCATTTTGATCTAGTATTAGAATAAGTTCTAAAAATATATTAATTATATATAGATAAAAACATATATAACTAATAGAATTTACATATGGGACGTGCATAAGTACATAATCATTACATAAGGAAATGAATTAATCATATAATTAATATAAAAAATGTTAACGTTGTTATGTAGAACAGAAATATAACATATGCGTAAGCAGAAAAATTTCATATTGTTGATATTTGTATACAGAGCCAATCAGTCAATGAGATGCTTATAAAACAGCAGAAAAATGGATCCACTACGATAACCCAAAGAAGAAGAAATCATGGAGATACCTGGCCATGCTTCAACATCGACAGCCAAGCCGAACATTCATGGGAAAAAGCTCATGTTGTGTATTTGGTAGGATCAGCTAGGTGTCGTTTCTGTTTTGAAAATCACTTTATATACACTTTATTACATTTGAATATTGATAAATATCTCGGTTTGGGACAGAACGACGCTTTTCTCTATCAAATTCTCTCATTTCGTGTAAAAACGCGTCGGATGAGATAATTTCATCAAAATTTGAAGCATAAGATTAGGTAATTATTCTCATGCAATAATTACTTTAGTAAATACACAGGACAGTATTTTTGAAATAGATTTTGGAAAAGTCATAGATGATTAAAATCAAGATTTTACATATGAATTGTAAAGAAGACATTGATATTGTGTTGATCTTGTTAAAAACTTTCCCTATCTTTACGATAAAGATCGTAGGATAAAGACAGATTTCAAGAACACACACAAAGAATGGTGCATAAATGAAAATCTCTTTTATTTTTAAATTAGCAGTAATTTTTATAGTTGTTGCAAATAATCATTTGTATTTCTATAATTTCTATGATAAGATAGTTGAAGATAAAAGTATAAGTACAGATTATAAAATTTTATTCATATAGTAAATCACTATTAAATCCTTCATGTATACGTTCATATTGCTATGTAACTTTGCCTTCAGGTGATAATAAATATTTAGTTAAAGTTCCTCGTTGTTCATAAGCTTCACGAGTTGATCTATGTGCATTAGTAAATCTTAACCTTCAATATTTGATATTTCATTTCTCCATATTCTTGGAATTGTTCTCATATCATCATCGTGATCAATAAAATTCGAAAAATGGGCAATAAGTTTGTTCACAAACAGGCTGTTTTGCATTTTCCGTCATTAAAAAATTATACAAGATTATAAATGTTGTGAGTATTCGATCTACTGTTGATGGATGAGCACATATCAGACGACGAAGTATTCGCCTTGATACCAGAATGCTGAAAGCATTTTCAATGACGCGTCTTGCACGTGACAAATGATAATTAAATATACTTTAATCATTGTTTAAAAATCTATTAGGATATGGACGCATTACATTTTTATGTAATTGAAAGGCTTCGTTTTCACCAATGACAAAATAAGGCAATTCTGTATTAGATCCAGATAATTTTCTAATTTGATGTGATATATTGAGTGTTCTATCATACAGTGCTTTTCTAAATATCGATTTAGATATTACTGCAGCATCACAATCACTGCAAACCACCCACGTCAACGATTCTTACTTTGCCCTTTATTTATGATTATTTATAAATTTATATATATGTTAATTTATTCTTTCAAACATCTAATAGCGTTTTTAACTCGAATTTGTACCGATTATCTGGGTTGTATGTTCTACTACTATTGGTAGAAAATAACCGGTATTCAGTCGATTTTTATATTTAAGATGTCACAAACCAATCGGAGATGTGTATTAGCATCTTAAAACATTACTTAACACTGTCTTGAAATAAGAATCGACTATTAATACCGGCCCATGTAATATCAATCAATAGACTAGTAATCTAACTTAAGTTAATACAAATCCACTTGGACTATATTTGACAGTAATTATATTGCTCTTGTATTTAGTTGATTTATTTATAAGCAGTTCTAATTACAATTTTATTATTGTTTAAGGTTACCGTATCAATATTAAATGGAAAAATATAAGCACAGAATACTAGCAAAATTGGAATTTTTCGAACATAATAGAAGCAATAGATGGTAAACGTATCCAGATATAAGCATCAACCAAAGTCTATACTACAAAATAATTAATATTGCTACGGTAACAAATAATTAATATTGCTACGGTCATTTTTTAGTCAAACATTTAATTTAGACGACACATAGTAATAATAAACTTTACAAGTGTCATCATTACGGAATAAATTTCACAAAAACTTGAAAAATTCCAACAACTATCAGAATATATAAAAATAATAAAGTTGGCAGCAGTGAAAATTACTGGCGCTGCGTTTCTTTTCATTCACCACTAAAGGTGTCTTTTCAAGAGATGCTAACTCAAATCACGCAATAGAAATTGACGAATATTAAGTGTCAATTTTGATCACATGATCTATTTTGACGTTGAAAATGAGCGTTGAGCGTCAGCATGAAAAGAAACTTTAATACAAGTAAAACGTGATAAGAATCAGAAAGATTTTCACTGTTCTCAGGTAAATTATATGTGTAAATTGATTTTTCTGGTACTCCAAAAGCTCAAAAAAATGGAGATACCATCTGAAAATACTTCTCAACATGATAAGCAGAACAATCTTGCAAATAAAAAAGAATCTATGTTGGAAAAGGGTAGCGTAAAAAAATGTGGCTAGAGATTTCTCGGTGCATGAAAGAAAAAAAAACAAGTTTATAGACAGTACGATAATAAAATGGATACGCTAAAGAGACAATATCGTCAAATTATTGATCGTAATGCTTAAAGTCGAAATTATACAATTAATGTTTCAGGTATTATATGACATTTTTCGAAGAAAAAAAAACATTGGATAAAATCATTAGCTGTAACAGGATCAAATATCAACGAATCTGAACAGTCTCCATTAACAGATAACAATGAAAATGAATCACCTGTATAATCTGTAAGTAATTATAAAGAACATTTTCTTATTCAAGTATATATTTTTATTATAATTATTATATCTAATATTCTGTATGCAGAGAAAAGGAAGATCTCTTTAAGTGAAGTAAGAGTGAATTACTTAACAATTTCATTAAAAGAGAAACGATTAAAAAGAGAAGAAAGTGTCAATTACAGAACAATAACATTAAAAACAGTAAGTGAAATAAAAGAAGTGTTTGAAAATCGGAAACAATAGTGTTGGTACGAAAAGGGAAAATACTAAATGTACGAACAAAAAGTTAAAGACTTAGAATTATCTTGTGCGTTACTATTACATCTACAACTTCAGTCTCTAAATAAGTGTTACTACAATTCTTGTGCTCAGACCCTAACTCGTTATGCAGTCGTTATGTACACACAGTTGCATAGCTTTTTTATTATGTAACAAAATATCTGCGCAACTGATGTTATAAGTACATAACGATTGCATGAGTTACAGAATACAAGGGCTGGAACAGAAAACGGACTATGAGTCTGAAAATCAGTTAACTGCGCTCAAATGAAAATTGGAAAAGGCATCATTCTTTGCATTTTAAAAATATAGTTTACTTTAAGAATTAAACTTGATTAATTCTATTTAATATCGCTAAAGATGATTGGAATTAGCTGAAACATCAGAATATCATTAAACAAGATTTTTATATAAATTTGTATAAAATAATTGTAGCACAATAATTATCGCGCAATGATTTTACTCACATTTGCTCTTATTTTTATAAATTTGTGATGGATTGACTTTATATATATATATATATATAGTTTACAGAACTATGAGAACCTGAACCTAAATCTGAATTGTATAGAAATTTACGAAATGGTTGAGTTTTCAGCAAACTCAACTGTGTGGGGCAGATCCGTGAGTGCTTGTTGCTATTGGGGTGTATTATTCTAGATCATCCAATATTATTTATTATGAAAGTTGTAGTAAAAGTTTACTGCAAAATAAATACTTCATATTCTAAAAGGCAATATTAAAAAATATTAGCGGAAAACTTAGAACAATATGAATAAAAAAAATGTTGAAGAGGACTCGGATATAACAAATGAAAAGAAAATGAAAAGTACGACTAAGCAGGAACAAATTCTGTTTTAGAAACAAAACAAAGTAGATAACCTATACATTTAAAGGTACAATTGTGTATTGTATTGATTTAAAAAAAATCATTTGCTTTTCATTAATGTAAAATTTTAATTTCAAAAAAACAAATTTTTTCTTGATTTGCTTCTTATTAATCTACGTATCATGTTTGTATGCATATTTGTATTTATGAATATTTTCACAATTATCATTATTTTTCAAACAAACAAATTATTAGATTTGCGAGAAAACAGGCAAACTAACAAAATATAAAGGATCTTATTTTCATTTATCATGCATTAAACCTGATAAATCTAGTACAGAATGTTTTACTGACGAGAACATGCTGATGACAGATTACTTAGTAACTTGAAACATAATTAAAAAAAGTATTAATGATAGTAAAAGTGAAAATAATAGTAATTGTCAAAATATTCGAGGTAGATATAAAATTTGTTTTTTTTTTTTAAATATATATGACTTACATTAATAGAATGATTTTATTATTCAAATTCGCTAAGAGCACGGAATTACGCTACATATTCTGTAACAAAGTATCGTTTTATACATGTGTACACATCTTGAATATTATATATAATAGTAATTATATGTAAGATATAATTATATATGACACCATATATAATCATATAAGGAACATAAAATGTTCCGAAACAGCAAAACTATAAGTTTTATAAAAAAATGTTTTAGATAAAAGTTGTAGAATTTAAAAAGGTGTAACTGCAAGCTTCATCATCTTGACTTCGGGTGGCGTTGCCAAAGTAGGTCGAAGTCAACTCGGAATTTTTAAGTGAGATCCCTACTCTTTCTTTCATTTTCTTATAGTCCTTGTTCAGACCTTTTCAAAATACTATAATTTTACTCATTTTAGATCAGCCATTTAAAGTTATTAAGTATTTTACAGTTTTAAGTATTTTATAGTCAGATTTTAGCGATTATAGATGAATCGTACACGAAACTGTTCATTTTTTTGCGCTAAAACTTGTACGTTTTCTTTAGCAGATTATAACATATGTGAAAACTATTTGATTTCTCCGCGACTCATATAGGATTAGTGCCGGGTTCTTTCTCTTATTAGACTTTCTTGTAACTCTTCAACCAGTTGCGAGATATTTGCTTGGACATTTATGGATGGACACCCTGTATATAAAATATATATACTAGACTGAGTATATGCATATAATCGAAATGTTGTAAAAATAAAAGTAATAAATTAAACATAATTATGTCGTGTATGTGCATCTCACCTCGGATCCGACCAGAGGTTTTTTTGTTGCTCATATGTTATTGAGGCTTCAGTCCGTCCCAGCCTGTTACTCCACACTTGGCAAAATCCTAACTCGACAGCCCTAATTATTGCATATTAATAACTGTACGACCATAAATAAATCTCAATAAAACATAATTTTTGTACGTTCACATATGTCAAGAAATTGTGTGTATGTGTACAGAATGTCGGGTAAGAAGCATAACAGAATCTTTTTTATGATTGATCAAAAATAAAATCATATATTGTTTTATAATTTTCACAGTAAGTAATAAATAATTTTCATTCTGTTTAATCCGCTTTGATGTCTGTCCACAAAGAATACATCTTAAATACTCTGTAGATGTATAATATATATATGTTTATTGCAATTACGCACATATAAATATTTGAGTATTTAATGTTAATATATTTTAATAATACATATATTTCATGCCAGTTATCGATAATTCACACATCTTGTTAGTGGACAATTATCTTAAATAGACACAACGCGAAATGGAAATTTTGTTTTACACATGTATCAGCAATTAAGCATAATAGCGGGTATATGTGTAAAACATAATTTAACTCTCTATTAACAATTTTTTTTCACGGAACACTTATTCCATAACTATGTTCTTAAAAGAAACGACGTATTCATACGAACAGAAGAAACAAGAACAAAAGATAAATCTAAACCTTGGAAGAAATTTAAAAAAAGAAAGACATAAGAAAAATGACGCTTGATGAGCTACCAGTATAGTATAGAGTAAAAAAAATTATCAAATGTTGAGGGATATTGCAAAGCGTAAGTTTGTTTAAATCCGACCATTAATTTTGGTGAAAATACTTACCTTATATGAAATTATTATGAAGTATATTACGGAAATAATAAACGAATATTTGAAAACGTAGTGAACATAAGAGAAATACGTGCTTTATTGAATAATTACAAAAGGATGAATTAAAGGACGGAAAGGCGACTTGTTCCAAATGTGAAGTCTTAAAGAATGTAGAATATTGAATTAATTATATTTTTGGCTCAGAAAATATGACAGGTATGAAACTAACATAATAAGTATGAAACAAAGTCTTATTTTTATACTTATTAAAATGGGCTGAAGTCAATTTTGTGTTACTTGTTTATATCTATAATGATTTTTCTAAATTTTTTGAAGTAAAATCTCATTCTAAGAGAGTGAAAATATGGCGAAATTATTAGCAAAATAGAGAAAAAATTTCCTTAACTTTCTTCTGACTGAAATCTAAAAAGCAATGAATAAAATAGAAAAAGTATTATAATTAAGGACAAAAGATATAATAAAAAATAAATCGAAAATGACAAAGTAAAATAAAATATTTTTGATATTGTTAAAAGCATATTTAATATTTAAAAAAACTTCAATCTTAAAACACTCACTTTTAAAAAAAAAGAGTATTTATCTTTTTGTTTATTTTTGCGATATCAATTAAGATATAAAATCGAGTTTCTTAATTTTTAATTTATTCATTATTCACAGATTAAAAATTCTCAAATTTTGTTATTGCTTCCATAAATAATTAATTTTAAGTAAATATTGAAAACAATAACCCCACCTCCAATGACTTCAACCTTTACATATATGTATATGTAAAGGTCATATATTGTCAAAGTAATACATTGCCTCGAGTAATCTTTAAGAGATTTTAGCGCTCACTATTCGTGTGTTCAAAAGTTATTAACAAAAAAAACACTGATAATATTAATGTGTATTTGACTATATATTTTAAATTATAACTATCACAAATAACAGTATTCCCACCTTTCTTGCCTCGGAGCGTACGACTTCCTAAGCGAAGCGATTTCCATCCCACCTTTCCACGCGAACCGAGATCCATCTCACAGTCAGATAAGGCTTGGGTTAGGTTAGAATTAAATCGGGAGGGGGGTGCAAAGAGTAGGGCAAGGGGGAGGGGAGGGAAGGCCCCTTCGCTATACGCCCCTCTTTGCTTTTGAAGCGAAACAAGATCAACAATTGTTCTATTCTAAATAGTTTCATGTAAAAAGATTACGCGTGGGCGGGATAGGACCGGAGCCTCCATTTAATCCTAACTTAACCTAATCAAATCTTTATGTTAATAGAAAGGCTTATGTCTTCTTGGGAGCGTTATTTTCTATTTGTCAGAGACCGATGTCTCTCGTCTTGTAGCTAAGCACAACGTGGTTTCGTTAACATAAGATAAGTACTGCAGCTTGTACAGAAATATACTTTACGTATTTACATAGTAACTTACGCTGTACAAAGAGCCAACTTGCTCATCGATCCTCACGCGAACAAACAATAGTTATCGAGATATTATATATGGCTGTGTGCGCTTACCCCACTCCCCGCGCGCCGTGCGATCGGTGAGCCGTACCTTCGGTAATAGCAGGTCGGACGCGCGTATACGACTATCTTTAAACATTAATATTTCGTTAACTATTGTGCAAACTGCTGATGAAAGATCCTGTATATATATTGTCATCGCGAAAGATGTTTTTCGGGTATTTCGTCCAGAGATGGCTTGTGAAAGGAGTGCCTATCAAAATGTCCCGAAGTTAGTGTGGCCAAATCAATGGAATCGTACAAAATCGAAGAGAGAAGATGAGAATTTAGTATTTCTTCAATCTGGATGAGTAATGTTACCAGCTCTTCATATTTAAAGTTAATTCTTGGTTATACGAGTTAAATGTCGCTTGATCGCCTTCATGGCTGCTTCCCATATACATATTAATTATAATGTGATGCCTTAAACAGTATAAAGTGCTAACAAACTCCTAGGAGCTCGCCATCTAATCTTGGATTGGTTGCTGAGTTAGCTGGTTTCGGATTAACTCTGCTAATTCGCTTAGCTCGCGTTACCTATCAACGAAATTTTAAATCGTTGTCAAAAAAATGGCTAAAAAACAGCCTCTTCTCGCAACGTAGCGTCTGAAAACACTTAGAAATGTTTTTGATGACAAGTTTGAGATCAATTCAATATGGTCTGCCTTGATGGCTAAACAGGCAAAAATTGCATTTCACCATTCAATGGTTTTTCTTGCACCTTTGCAGTAGAGAGGGTCAGCATAATCTAATCCACATTGATCAAATATGTTACTCTTAAGAAGGTTTTAACCCGCGATTTAGGTAAGTTCTTCACGATAGCGAAGGTAGGTTCTAAAACAGACGCATTTTCTGAGAATTTATCGAATGATGTTACGCGCTGAAGTAAACCAGTAGCGCTCATGAACTGTGGCTGGAGTGGCTTGCAGTAAATGCTTCACATGCTCGTGCATCACAATTGGATAATTGTGATGCACGACAAATGGATAATTTCCAGACAATAGTATGGAATGTTTGGATGCATAAAATAAGGAAGATTCTCTTAAACGATCTCCCATGCGTAAGATGTCGGAATCGTCAAGGAATGGATTTAAATTTAATATAGAACTGTTTGTAGGGACAGCTTCTTCATTGATGAGTAACTTTGTTTCCTTTGCAAAATGCTTCAACTGTATTATCTTAATCAGATGAAAAATCGCCTATTATTGCTCGTTCAGAGATATAGGTTGGACGATATTTCTTCCTGTAGATAAAGCTTTTTCTGGTCGAATGAATCTTTTACATGTCTGAAATTTTCCT